CCCCCCCCCCCCGAGAAATTTCCTAGCTACGCCCCTGCACGTTGGTCATCGATATACTCATTTTTATACAAGTTATAAGGGCATCCCGGAAAGGTGCTTCAAAACCACGATGAATGTCTTTGAGACCCCAAAATGAGGAAAGCCTTCGGTAAACTAGATTGGATACAGAGCTAGTTTTGGCGATACAACGGTGCAAAAGTAAATTTTTTGGCGCATAAAAAGACATTTGGAAAGCTGGGACTTATAAACTTTGTAAAGCTTGTCATCAGCCATGAAAATGGGACTCCAGTACATTTTCTCAGAGGAGACTTGGCTATCTGAGTTTTGACTGCTATTTTAAGCCTTCGATGTCCCAGCCTGCAGGTCACATTGGAGGCATAGAAAGGAGCATTACGAGTTCACGCCTCGCGCCATAGCGCCTTTAGTTTCGCAGATGCAACACAAATATCCGTCAAGCACGAATAGCTGTATCTCTGCGCCGTCATCAACGCGCGCCTTTTCCCATGCTTTATTTCCATGTTGTGTTGTTTCTATTTGCCTTATTTGTGATGGTGTTATAAGGGCTGTTGCTACGAGAGCAGCAAATCCGAAAAAAGGAGAGACGTAATCGGGCCTCGATTCTTGACTTTCCTGTTGAATCTGAACGACACCTCATTGGCATAGAGCGGAGCATTGCGAGCTCTTGCCTCACGTTATCGCCCCTTCAATTTTGCAGATGCAAAACGGACATCAATCAAGCACGAATAGTTGTGTCTCAGCGCCTTCATCAACGCGCGTTCTTTTCCTTGCTCTGTTTCCAAGTATTTTTGCTTGTGTGGAATTTGGTGAGAAACACGATGGTTCCCCTGGTTCTCTTTGAAATGAACTCTTAAGCTAAAAAAAAAGCTCTTAGAGTTGAAGTGGTAATGGAAGGGTGGTCTACCTTAAGCCTTAGGGCTTTACGGTCTTATTTTTAATCCTCGTATAAAAACCACCAATTTGCTAAATACAATTCTAGCTGGAGCGCACTTCAACTATTCATTCACGACTGCTAAAATGTCAAAGGAAATCGACAAAGCCAACGTGTATGAAGGATATTTAAATTGTAATCTTCCTTCGCATTTCTAAGGCGCAATGATACAACTATTTGAACTCTCCGGAATGCGTGAGGCATCACGCCGCATTTGAAGGCGTTTTCAAAACAGCCAAGTTCCGATACCCGGATTATCGTTTAGCATAGTTCATATTCATTTGTTATATTCA